AGACTCATGAATCTCTAACCAGGAGAATCGCTGTGAAAAATCACTGTAATGTCACTTTAATTGGCGACATGTGACTTGTCTGTGCTGCTGATCTCAAGCTGCTGTATTCATACCCATCTGCTCACTACAGACTCATGTCAGGGCTGCTGTTTAATACACCGTATTATTTTACATTATTAGTGTTTACCATATATCTTAGTTTATTCCTTAGATCCTTATTTACTGTTTCTTTTTATACTTTGTATTTTTGCTATTGTTGGATGTAACTGGGACCTTGTGTACATAATTTTGTTCCACCTCATGTACCGCATGTGATGAGAATGACAATAAAGACACTTGAACTGCTTCCTTCTCGTCAGCTTCTTAAACGTGGTGAAAAACTGAGCATGGAATCCGATGACCTCACACTGTCCAGCTCGTTTGTCGTCTTCAACAGTAACCGAACATCCAAGTTGTATTTGTACACACAGTCTAAAGCTCACATGTCAGTGTGGAGAAAATAAATTTGATTTGGAACATTCAAAATCTCCAAAGCAGCAAACGTCTGTTTTATAGAACCCCATTTATCTGATAACAGTAGAGGAGAAGCTGCTGCTCACAAGATCTGACTCTGGAGCGATGGAGCGATGGATGGATGGATGGATGAATGGATGGATGGATGGATGGAGCGATGGAGCGACAGTGCGATGGATGGATGGATGGATGGATGGATGGATGGATGATGATGATGATGATGATGATGATGATGATGATGATGAATGAATGATAGATAGATGGATGATGGATGGATGCTGGATGGATGATGATGAATGGATGATGGATGGATGGATGGATGGATGGATGGATGGATGGATGGATGGATGGACGACGACGACGACGACGACGACGACGACGATAATGGATGATGGATGGATGGATGGATGATGGATGGATGGATGGATGGATGATGGATGGACGACGACGACGATGATGATAATGAATGGATGATGGACGGATGGATGATGGATGGATGGATGGATGGATGATGGATGGACCGCTCTGCTTTTCTCCGAGTATAAAACATTTGTGCAAAACAAACGCCTCACGACCAAACGAGCGAGATCGGTCATCTTACATCTTATGATGTAATCTTATATGATGATGTAATCTTATATGATGATGTAATCTTATATGATGATGTAATCATATGTGATGATGTAATCATAATGTATGCCGCAGCCTCCAGCCTTCTCATTTTATCAGAGAAATCTTTACATTTGCATAAAAAATAAATCAAACTGCTTAATATCCAGAGTGTTGCAGCTGATGGCAGCCAGGGCTGGCAATGCAAAGATCATCTACTTTTGTTGAGAAGTTCAAGCACATCATACTCCAACATCTTACGGTTGGACATGTCCGACCATCCTAATCTTTATTCACACTCCTGCACAAACTGGAACAATTCCAGCTCCGTTCACCACTTTATGTCGTATAAAACACAGCAGCAGCCAGAGCATATGGCCATAAAGAAACAAACACTGCATCCATCATGTCACGTTTACTACAACACGGTCATGTCTTCCATCTTCTGCAGATTAACCTTTTCTCCCAGTTGCTCAGTCAGAATGGACACGCTGGTGACCCATCCTTGAACTCTGAAGCTGCAGAAATGAATTCAGCCTGAACATGAGCATGCAGTGATGAAATATGAAACAAATAAAACCTCCTATTTTAGGTTGTTGCATGCGGTTGTGAAATGTGTCAGGATATTCAGCTTGCTGCACTTTTCATTTATGCCACTAGATGGCTCTGTGTTTTAGTTTAAATGTTTGTTTCGTGCTTTTTAATGAGCGGGTGTAATAAACTCATATTTTACAGTTTGCTTAATGTGATCCTGCAGAAATACTAAAGTCACACCTGCATGACGAGAAGAGCCACCGAGTTCAGCAGATTTCTTAAATCCAGCTGAAGGGGTCAAAGGCCACCACATTTACAGTTGTGATTAAATAAAAGGCAGGCAGACAGGAAGTGCTCAGGGAATAAAAGTAATAAAAACTGCTCACAGAGCATCACGTAGGAAACATTTCAACATGTTGCAGGAGACATGTTCATACTTATTAACACACGTGATCGATCTGCGTGTTTAACCTTTCATCTGCCACCAGCTCCTCTTTCGTCCTCCGTGGATCAGCACACAACAGATTAGAAATATCAATAATTAAACTTGTTTTCACTCAACACTGCTGGAAAAGTGTCATAAAGCCCCAAATCACAGCTCCGCCCCGAAGTTTGGATCCTCCATGTTTGATTTGAAGCTGCATCAGCTCTTCAATGACAAAACGCTCGTAATGCAACAAAGTAACTGCTGCGAGCTTGTTACATCATTCAGGAGCCCAAAAGTAGAAATTGGAGAAGCCAGTTACAACTTCCTGTTCGTACGCACAGTAAAACACGCTTCCTGTTCGTACGCA